TTCTAGAATAGTTAATCCACGTCCAAAATTTTAAAGTTTTGAAATTCAATCTAGTGTTTGTGGTATTTGTTGAACATTTGAAAAATGGTATTTGTGGAACTTTTGAAAACAAAACTTCAAAGTGTGGTATCTTAATTCCTAAAAAATGCATATGCGTACACATAATTTGCATTTTCCTTTCTTTTGGTTATTATAGAGTGGTGATGCTCCCGCCAGTGGAAGTGAGAGAAAACGATGTATGTGTTAAAATGATCGCTGCACCAATCAATCCATCTGATATCAATCAAATTGAAGGTTTGTTGTGTGTTATATACTTGAAAATATAATTATCAATTGTTAGTCAGCATTTTAGTCATGTTTCCGGCTCTTGTCCATCTTTGAAATCTACTTTTATGATTTGCTTCGCTGGAGAAATACGGATATCATGTAAACGTGAAAACACATAACATTTGAAACAATCCAAATTACGACAAACCAAAAAAACAATATAAAACTATAATATGATTTAAAGACTGATATCAATTTCTTTTAGGTGTTTACCCTGTCAGACCACCAGTACCAGCGGTTGGTGGTATAGAAGGTGTTGGGCAAGTGTATACGGTTGGGTCGATGGTCAAGTCTCTTTCTCTTGGTGATTTTGTTATTCCGTCTCCACTCTCTTCGGGTAAAATCTTAACTTCTCTCTACATGAAAGTATTCTGATAAGTAAAACAACAAAAGAGCCATAACTTGATGGGAAAACAAATACCTTTGGAGAGGCTAGGGACCTGGCAGACGTATGTTGTGAAGGACGAGAGCATGTGGCACAAAATTGACAAAAGGTGTCCAATAGAGTATGCAGCTACTATTACTGTTAATCCGTTGAGCGCTTTAAGGATGCTTGAGGACTTTGTCAGCTTAAAATCTGGTTTGGACTCTATCGACCCTCCATTGTCTAACAGAGTATAAAGTCGTGAATCTCGTGATTATACTGAAATTGAATAAATGGCAATTCTTCAAAAATACTTCACTTTGAAGTTTTGTTTTCAAAAATACCATCCACAGTTTTATATTCCAAAAATATCACCAAAGTTTTGATTTTCCAAAATTACCACAAAAGTAAAATTAAATTGTAAACCTTTAAAACTAAACCCAGAACAAACCTAACCCTAAAACCAAATACTATACCCTAAATCTAAATTAGTTAACCCAAATCCAAAAATTTAAATTATAAATCCTTAAAAATCACTTTTACGTTTGTGGTATTTTTGAAAAACCTAAAGTTTTGGTAATATTTTTGAAATATAAAATTTTGTTGTTATTTTTAAAAACAAAACTTCAAAGAATAGTATTTTAGGGAATTTCTCTTGAACAAAATTATGAGCAACATCAAATTTAATATAAAAAAACGAAAAAACTAGAAAATCCAAAAAATCATAATCTTTATTGAAATAGAAACACAAATGATGAATTATATACACAATAAAAAATATTCAAAATGTTGTGTTTCTTACTTTCTTTATTGTAACTCTTTAAATCGAAGAATTGGGTTTATTTTTCCTAGCATAAACCAATTAATCTTGTGTTGAGATTAGTAGGAGATTGATTTGAGCACATGATTGCTCAAAAATAATTTAAATCAACTCTAGTTTATTATAGAAAATTTTTAAAAAATGCCACATGTTCCATGCCACTTTACAAAAATGCCACCTTTTAAAAAAATTTGCAAAAATGTCACTCTTCTTTTTCAGTATTCCTATACTGTCTTTGTCCTTTGACTCATATAATTTGACTTTTTAATTTTTTTTTTCATTCTGTTTTGTTTCGCTTTCAGTTTTTTCAGATCTCAAAATTTTTTTTTTCAAGATCTTAACATTTTTTCTCAGATCTCGTTTCTCTTTTTTTAAAACTAAATCTCATATCTCTCGCTCAAAACTATATTAAAGACATGAATTATAATTTCACAAAAAACAAATTTAAGATGAGATTGAATTTTATGGATTGAGAAGAAAAGGAAAAAGGAGGACAAGAGAAGA